CCCTCATCTCACTCTGTGTTAAAGGAACACATTGAGACCATCTGATTAAAATGACTGAGTTTTACTCTGCTATTTCATGGAAGCGGCTCAGAATGAGAGCTACTAAAGGCAGGTTAACCTTGCTCCAGCAGAACAGAAAAGTTTTCAGCTGCAGGGATAACAGGGAGGCCCATGGCACCCAAACCACTTCACTGTGATGATGTGGTCTGGGTGCCTATAGTCTTCCTTCAATTCCTGGTCATAGACTTTGAGGATGGAGTATATGGATTTCAAATACAATTCAGCACAGTAAAACCTGTCACTATGTTAACCAAAAGTTATATTACCACTCATCATTGTAACCCGTTGAAACCATCAATTTGGTTATCTCCTGAATCAGATCAGGGCTGGACACAAAACCATGAGTTTCCTGGTGAGCCTTTCGAGCATGGAGTTGGTCACCACCAGGGAGAAACTTTCTTCGGAATTAGAAAAACTTAACCCAGGACAGAATATGTGAGGTTAGGTCAGAGTATGCATGCATGGATCGGTGTGTGTGTATTTGAGTATGCATGTAACTGAGTGAGCATATTTGTCAATGGATCAGTGATGTGTGTGTATAAGAAAATGTGTGTGACTAAGTTGACATACAGTATGGATGTTTATAATAGACAAATTAATAATATATAGAAAATGTATGCATTCTATTTGTATGTGACTCAATGGCATAATTAAAAAAAAAAAAATACAGAAGCACGACACATCCTTCCTTTTTCTTAAATGTATAAATGTCTGTAAATAGCGCCCTTCTTTCCACTCTTTGTACCAAAAGTGGGGACAACATGGCTTGTATTATTTAAATATGCCTTCCCTTTTTGGTTTAAAAACTCTCCTTATTGTTAATTTACTAAACAGGATATCTGATACATTAGACACAAATCTGACATGTAATAAAAAATAATATTTCTTGGGTAATGGAAGTTACGCAGATCCATGGACTGATATATAAAACATTTTATTATAATGTTTTCATATTCTGTGCCCCTTATTCATCGTACTTCAAATACACATTTTTTGGACCTGTTAAGCTTTTTTGCTTCCAGTAAAGAAAACAAATGAAATCTGTAAATCTAAACGGCTTTATCTTTCACTATCACAGTCAAACTGGACTCATCCAGCAATAATACAATAGGAACAATAGTTACTATGGATCAGCTACACAGGGGAGATGATTTGGAATACTGTCCTGGCATCACGTGTAAATAAGGGGTGCCTTCCAGGATTCACAACATGTTAATCATATGGCAAACGGCTCCTTACACAGAGAGTATTGTGCATAGCACAAATTCTTCTAACTTCTTTAATAAATGCTGATCTGTTTTGAATGGTTTTAAACTTTCAAACAGACAACAAACAGATGTATCTTCAAGGGACACAATGTTATTGTGTCACACACAATGTGAAAACAATGGCTGGCTAGAGCAATGGTAAGTGGGAACCAGAAACCCAGGTCCAAATTCCGGTCAGACCACCTCACCAGTAAGTGTCCTTGGCCAAACACCTACCTCAAATCTTTATTGAATGTAAGCTTGTTTGAGCAGGGCATTTTTCACCTCTAAATATTCCCTTCCTATCATTGTAAACTGCTGTGGAACATGTTGGCATTATATAAATGCCATTGGTAAGTGGACTAAAGACCTGGCAAGTAGAAATTCAAACCTGGAGGGTATGGTGAGTAACTTTTACAGCCTGGTTAGTAGCATGGGACTACAAATTCTAATCCCTGATAACAGTCCTCCTGATAACCCAATCACCTGAGAGAGTGGCTCTGTCATACAGTTTGGGGAGGACTATATGGGAGCACTTCACAAGGAATGAATTTCAGGACATTTCAGCCTGTATATGAGTGATTCATCAGTGTTCAGTATATTAGCATCCATGATTGGCAACCCTACTGGGCAACCCTACTGGTGCAATGGGATAATATTTATGGGAGGGCAAACAGTATCATGCCCATTAGTTAGCCATGCCCCACGTACCCTTCTCCTGGTCACAGATATTATAAACTTGGCAGATCTGAAGAAACACATGGCACACTCATTCCATTATCTTTTTTTTTGTTTGTTTTGTTTTATTGAACCAATTTTTCAAGCATAATTAATTTAAAGAGGTTACTCATGGTTATTTATAAGAATTGTCAGGAACCATGATTGTCTACAAAGTAATCAGAGTTTGCAGGAATCTATGATCTTTGTCTTAGGGATGAGCATAACCACCTAGCAAAGCAAGTGGGTATGAGGCAGCCTCCTCTAAGTTAAGGGTTTTGCCTGCTGGTGGTAGTTTGTTTTTCTAAAACATAAGGTTATCTGGTGTTTATTCAGCCTATTGATAACTGTTCTCTGTTTTGTTTTTTTACAGACTATAGCCGTACTCCAAGACAAGACCAACAAACCAAGGATCTACCTAAGTAGGAGGATTGGATGCTAGTAGTCTAATCAGTTTGATATGCTCATGGACTCCCTGCATAAAGAATCTGTTTGCTGGGACTTGTTACAACATTTCTTTTCTCTTTATTGAACTTATTTTGTTGCAATGTATGATGAATGGTTCCAGTGTTCATTTGATACTTTCCTTTGCTATACATTGTTGCCTTGTTTTCAGCTCAGCTGTTTGTTTTATACAAAGTTTCAAGTCTATCTTATATGTCTTCATGACTTATTAAGCATTTTTCTTGTTCCCCTGTACTACTGGCTACTTGAATCGTTTTATTTTGTGTTTAGATGTTTAATTATATTCCTATACACTTTGGGCAATATTTATCCTTAGTACTTCGTGTGATGTGCTAACCATCCGCAGTTTCCCAATTTTAAAAATCTGAGGCAATCAGGATTCCTGCGCTCAGCACGGCTCTCCTGATTACCTGATTGGCTGAAATACTGTTGCTGTGCAGATGCACAGTGTGAGTGTTTTCAGCTCTGGCATTTGACTCCGGGAGGTTGCCGCATACCCACTAGCTTTGCTAGGTGGTTATGTCTCCCGGAGGACAAATAATGTATTCATCTAGCCAAGCGCTTTAAATAAACGCTCCAAATACCATAGCCACTACAGCCAAAAGTGCCATGGCGTTTTCTAAGGAGTCAAATCGTTTTTTAGTTTCTTACCTGAGGTCCACACCATTGACAGCCTCAGCCAAGGATCTAAGCCATGCATTGCTGGGCTTAGTTTGGGAGAACTTACGGCACTTTCTGCTTACGAAGCCCCTACACTTCAGTGACAGCAGTGGAGGGGAGGAGCAGTGCCTAGCAGACCCCAGGTAAGAATTCAAATCCATATCCTTCCTGTATTATAACTACTTCAGTATGCTCCAGTGGTTATAGTGCTTACTACTCAGGGTCAGAGGAATCACGGCAGATGTCATGATGGCAAACATCTCTTGAAACACACAGAATTTTCTAATCATTTTACTATTTCAAACACAAAGTAACTAAACTATGGAACAGACAGTGGAAGGCCAGTAGAGCTCACAAAACCCATCGATCCCTTTATGAATGGTCCTACTCAAACTGCACAAACATTATATGGGTAAGACAGGTGCTGGAGTCTCAAGGTCTGACATTAAATGTTCCTGTAACCTCCATCAGTTTGACCTACACAGTATGAAAAAGTATTTACAGAGACCTGTGCATTTAAGTGGTTTCAGGTATTTGGTACCAGGAGTGGAGGAGGAGGGTCATCAGTATAGTATCTGAGCAGTGGGCAAAACCAAGTACAGGACAATGGGCAAAACCAAGACCTCTATTATGCTGGTTCCTCGATTATCCACTTACCCTTTACAACGTATGGGTATGGGGCAAAGAAGAAGCATTGCTTTGGCCTTTTTTTATTTTTTTTTACTGCTATTAACAATGTCCGTCATATTCTTCTGGCCATGGAGGGACATACTCAAACAAGGTTATTTAATTAAATTTGGTGGGCATTTAGAAACATAGAAAAATAGAATATGACGGCAGATAAGAACCATTCGGCGCATCAAGTCTGCACAATTTTCTAAATACTTTCATTAGTCCCCGGCCAGGGGCGGACTGAGAGCCTTTGGGGCCCCCGGGCAAAATTAGATCCCAGGCCCTTTGAAGGACAAATATATGTGCATTTTAATAAATGTTAAATATAATTCATAATACGGCATTCCTTTGGATGTGTGTATTGTGAAGACCTGTGTATCAATGCATGTTTGTATTTGAGTCTGTGTGAATGCACTTGTGCATGTCTGGATGACTACATGTGCTTTTTGTATATAGTGTCTGTGTGAATGCATATGTGACAGGTGACAGAGTGTATGAGGGAGAAGGTGACAGGTGGAAGAGTGTGGGAGGTTGTGACAGGTGGCAGAGTGAGGGGTTACCTGGTGGCAGAGTGAGGGAGGGGTTGAGTGGTGGCAGAGTGAGGGGGAGACACAGTGAGTGGGGGTGACTGGTGACAGAGTGAGGGAGTGGGTGACTAGTGACAGAGGGAAGGAGAGGGGGAGACTAGTGACAGAGGGAGGGAATGGGAGACTAGTGACAGAGTGAGGGAATGGGAGACTAGTGACAGAGTGAGGGAATGGGTGACTAGTGGCAGAGTGAGGGAGGGAAGGGGTGACTAGTGACAGAGTGAGGGGATGACTGGTGACAGAGTGAGGGGGGGGGGGTGACTGTCACTAGTCACCCCATCCCTCTCTCTGTCACTAGTCACTAGTCACTCCCTCCCTAACTCTGTCACTGTGTCACCCGCTCCCTCCTCTGTCACTAGTCACCCCCTTACTCTGTCACTCACCCCCTCTGTCACTAGTCACCCGCTCGCTCACTCTGTCACTAGTCACCCCCTTACTCTGTCACTGTGTCACCCCCTCCCTCTGTCACTAGTCACCCCCTCTCTCACTAGTCACCGCATCCTTCTCTCTGTCACTAGTCACCCCATCCCTCTCTCCGTCTCTAGTCACTCCCTCCCTAACTCTGTCATTGTGAAGGAAGGAAGGGGTGACTGGTGACAGAGTGAGGGAAGGGATGACTAGTGGCAGAGTGAGGGAAGGAAGGGATGACTAATGACAGAGTGAGAGAGGGTGTGACTAGTGACAGAGTGAGAGAGGGGGTGACTGTCACTAGTCACCCCATCCCTCTCTCTGTCACTAGTCACTCCCTCCCTCACTCTGTCACTGTCACCCCTTCCCTCACTCTGTCACTAGTCACCCCCTCTCTCACTATGTCACTAGTCACCCCCTCCCTCACTATGTCACCCCCTTCCTCACTCTGTCACTAGTCACCCCCTCTCTCACTCTGTCACTAAGGACAGAGGGGGTGATTAGTGACAGAGTGAGGGAGGGGTGACTAGTGACAGAGTGAGGGAGCAGGTGACACAGTGACAGAGTTAGGAGGGAGTGACTAGTGACAGAGGGATGGGGTGACTAGTGACAGTCACCCCTTCCCTCTCTCTGTCACTAGTCACCCCCTCTCTCACTCTGTCACTAAGGACAGAGAGGGTGATTAGTGACAGAGTGAGGGAGGGGGTGACTAGTGACAGAGTGAGGGAGGGGGTGACTAGTGACAGAGTTAGGAGGGAGTGACTAATGACAGAGGGATGGGGTGACTAGTGACAGTCACCCCTTCCCTCACTCTGTCACTAGTCACCCCCTCTCTCACTCTGTCACTAAGGACAGAGGGGGTGATTAGTGACAGAGTGAGGGAGGGGGTGACTAGTGACAGAGTGAGGGAGCAGGTGACACAGTGACAGAGTTAGGAGGGAGTGACTAGTGACTAGTGACAGTCACCCCCTCCCTCACTCTGTCACTAGTCACCCCCTTCCCTCTCTCTGTCACTCCCTCACTCTGTCACTAGTGTGAGGGGGTTACTAGTGACAGAGTGAGGGAAGGGGTGACTAGTGGCAGAGTGAGGGAAGGAAGGGGTGACTAGTGACAGAGTGAGGGATGTGGTGACTGTTACTAGTCACCACCTCCCTCTGTCACTACTCCCTCCCTCCTCCTGTCACTACTCCCTCCCTTCTTCTGTCACTAGTCACCCCCTCCCTCACTCTGTCACCAGTCATCCCCTCCCTCACTCTGTCACCAGTCATCCCCTTCCCTCACTCTGTCACCCCCTCACTCTAGTGACAGAGGGAGGGAGGGGGTGACTAGTGACAGAGTGAGAGAGAGGGTGACTAGTGACAGAGTGAGGAAGGGGGTGACACAGTGACAGAGTGAGGAAGGGGGTGACACAGTGACAGAGTGAGGGAGGGGGTGACTAGTGACAGAGTGAAGGAGGTGGTGACTGTCACTAGTCACCCCCTCCCTCTCTCTGTCACTAGTGACACCCTCCCTCACTCTGTCACTAGT